GTTTCTATAGTTTAGTTTGAAAGTATAGGTAAGGAATTCCTCGCGTGTGTAACGTGTTGTGATCGTGTAAAGCTTTATTAACCCCCAAATATTTACGTAAATGACTAAAGGTTATGCGTAGAAAACAACGAACCAAAAAGAAACAATGAAAACAAAAACGGAACGAGCGAGAGTATCAAGATAAATGATAAGAACGTCTTGGTTAGAGGCTTTTTTACTAACCGTACATGTTTCATACAATGTTCCGCTGTAAATATGTTTTTTGGGGAGTGAATATATTTGTGTCTTCATTTGTGTGTTATGGGGGGTGGGGGCACACACACACACACACACACAAACACACACACACGCACGCACACACACATATGCCGACATCTGTGAGCACACTGGAAAGAAAAAATAATGCATTTAACGACTTTCACGTTAAGCTTTCCTCTTTTGTGCATACACCTTTGGGAATTTAAGTATAGGTGTTGAATATATATATATATATATATATATATATATATATATATATATATATATATATATATATGTGTGTGTGTGTGTGTGTGTGTGTGTGTGGTGCCTCTCCACGAATCGAAATCATTTAAAATGTAAATATTGTGTAACTACATGTCCCAGGCAAATGAAATAAAATAGGCTTCATGTTGAACAATAAAAGATTTATTTATCAAAATTCGAACAAGATATTCAAAGAGATGCAGATTTTATAACCGATTTCACAAATGTTCAATATACGCACCACCTGTGATACGACACACGTCAAGTCGGTAGTCCAGCTCCTGCTAAACACGTTGTAGCATGTCTTACGTAACATACTACAACGCTTCAGTGATTTTCTGCTTAAGTTCCTCTAGGCTTGTTGGAAGAGTGATGATATAGACCTGTCCATTCAGATGATCCCGTAGAAAAAAAAGCTCTTAAGTCAGGGATAACGGGATGGCCATTTCAACAGCACGACCGATCTATCTTCCTCGTAGATTCTCATTGACCTTCATTTTACATATTCTGTCCAAATTTGAGATAATTTGAGCGAGAATTGGCTATATTATTAGACTAAAAACGGTATCAATTTTTAGGGATACCACACACACACACACACACACACACACACACATATATATATATATATATAATGGAAATAAAAATGGTACGGCCAATTTTACCCTTCATAATTAAAAAAAAAGAACCAGCCGACAGGTTTCGCACTCAGCAGAGCTGAAATCGAGAGAATAAATGTCACAATAAAAAATATAAAAGAAATGTAATATATTAAAGGCGGTAAAATGAAATTGACATAACGTCCAACCCTAACAGGATTTCCCTCTGTTTATATATATATATATATAAAAAAAGAACATTGAAGTCAACACCCAAAAGCGAGTCATCAGGCCTCCTGATAATTGCGTCTAGCATGAAACAGTCTGTCACCTCTAAGTGTTGCCTTCAATGCTCACTTTTATATTTACACACGTTCTATCTCTGATATTGAGCATTTTATCCCATAAATATCCCCCACCTTACAACTATATTTCTTCATAGAGAGAGAGAGAGAGAGAGAGAGAAGATGTCCTAGAGGGATTTCGGTTCGAACAAGTAGGAGTTTCAAAATAAAATCTGTTGATTCCAATCGGATAGAGAAAGACAGCAAAATATTTTCCCCGCCTCAATTTGCCTTCCACATATTCTTTGATTTCTTTATGCTATTATTAACCCTTTTCTCTTCTTTGAGGTTTATTGTGAATTTTGTCAATTCTGTTTGTTGGGCCATTATTTTTTGTTTAAACATTTGAACAGATTTTGGGAAGTGGTTGGGCCAAGACTGCATTAGCCATGTATACCCGAATGTATATATCTATATAAATATGTTTGTTTAGCTAGCTAGCTACCTGTATATTTATTAGTTTGATCGGAAAATAATGTGCGATTTTAGAATTAACTTTTATTCTTGAATTAATGCGATTCAAAGAGTTTAAATCAGTCAAAATAAGCACGTGGACATCTATACATTTCTGCCATTGAGTTACAAAGAAATCTATGCGATTTTTCGATCAAACTCTAAAAGTTTGAACAAGAAGTTTGAATGCAATTTCTGCATCGCCAATGGAATGTCTTTTGGTTTAAAAAATCGTCACGTTTTAAAAAGTTGTAGTCAGGGGTGGGGTGGGTGAGAGACCAGAGGAATATGTTGGATGTGGCAAAGTGTTTTATGTGGGTGAACTTCTACAGTGTCATCCTGGCAACATGTGGCCGAACATTAAGCTGAAGCAGATTCGTATATCGTCGATTAACAAGTCCGATCGCATTTTAATTAACTGAATGTGTATTTCATCCAACTGTTGGCAGTAAACTTCAGCACTAGTTAGATTCCAGAAAGCTGTAATGAATAACACTAATGGCTGTCACCATAAACTTCTGTTGGTGTACATTTGAAACGTATTTCTGTGTGCTTCGTCATGATCAAGCAATTGAGCCGATCGTCTACCATTGCCATGAAGGATTCATTTCTCATTCCAACTCGCTATTTGATCAATAATTTCAATTTCGAAGAAGCAGCATCAAGCATACATCAAGACATCGAACTCTTTGACTTTTACTGTGTTCATGAAGAACCCATATATCACCTTACCAATTCTCTTGAGATGGTTCGACGTTGTTGAAATTCAGACATTCATTATCGTAAACATTTCTCTGACACTTTGCCTGGGTTTTGTTCTTCTAGCGTTTTCAGCTGTCGATAAACAACGGTAGATGGACGTCCTCTACCACCTTGGTTCTCAAGACTCGTATCCGTACTGTGGAACTTCAGCAACAAGCACCAGTATTGTCCGATGCAAGTGCTCTTTTAATGATTGCAGCAGTTTCAGGAGGCTTATGACAGGCTTGAACATCAAAAGTAAAACGCATTTCGTCTTTTTTCATGTTCAAGCTTAGGGCTGTTGCCCACATCTCTATTGGTTTATTCACGACGTTTTGGCCGATGTACGCTCCGGCCTTCTCCAGGTGATATACGTGGACTAAACAAAGGATTCGGTTCTAAATTCCAATGTATATCACCTGAAGAAGGATGGAGTAAACAACAGCCGAAACGTCGTGAATATGGCAAAAAGATGAAGACTACAGTCCAAACGAGGTAAGTAGTGTAAATAATTACAAGATCACGTCTCAGAAATATAGGCAGATATCAAGCTTAGCGATATATAATGTTATGTTTTAAATGATTGATACAAAATTAAAAAAGAGGTCACTTTAATCATTAGGAATGAGTAATGTTGTAGTGTAAGGGATATCGGTTTGAGCTGAGAACTCGGAGTGCCGAGTTTGAATTCCAGTCGAGCTCGTTATATTCACTTATATACAAATAACCTTTGGAAAGGTAGGAAGCCATCTCCTCTCTCTATGTGTTAAATAGCAGGACAGAATGGCTTCTTTAGCCATGGTTGGTAATCAGGCTGCCGCAAAAATAAATGGCAACCTACCGCCTCGTCAGTCATATACCGAAAGAGACGTGATCACCCAAACGTGTATCACGTGTGGCACTTAACTGACTGACTGAATATATTTATACACAATTCTTATAATAATATATTAGAAAACAATTAAAGATTTTTCAACAAACAAATCTCTCTCCCCCTCTCCCTTTCTCTCTCTCCCTCTCTCTCTCTCTATATATATATATATATATATATATATATATATATACACACACATATATTACCTCCCCACCTCTTTAGCATACTTCTGAAAAAAGTTGAACGCCAGACTTCTATACATCTCACGAAATAATGTAACCATTTGTATCTGTCCATAATGAAATTGTCTAGGATTTATATGCAGACAACTTCGTGCCATGACCTATATAGCAATATTTTTTTTTCGGTAAGTTTGAATTTAGCATAGGCCACAATCGATTGGTTAATCACTATCAAGCCCACAAGCTTATTTTTAATTGTTTTTTTTTTCTCGAAAAAAAAAGAGCAAGTATTCTGCTTTTCGAAATTAAAATAATCGTTCACTCGCCAGTAGTTTATCATCGCCTGAGGAGACACATTTGTAGTGTTGAAACATAATTGTAATTGTGCAGCGATTTTTAACATGATTTTGTTTTAATATCCTAAAATAAATAATATTTAGCTCTACTTTGTATCGAGCCCTCTTTTAAATTAAATTTTATGTAGAGGGAATTATACTCAATTTGTTCGCATTTAACCTGGATATATATATATATATATATATATATATATATATATATATATATATATATATATGTATAAAACTTAGATTAAATAGAAGGATATTATTGTAGTTTTACAATTTAGGAATAACAGGCTGTATATTGGGATCCAAATTGTGGATAAACAGTCTAAAGTCCATGTTTCTTCTGTTGTTTGTTCAAGTACTTTTGACTGCCTCAGTTATTTTCAAGAATGATGTGTTGCTTGTGGGCTAGGTAAGATTCTGTTGGCTACAACCTGGTATTCTTTATAAAGATGAAAGCTTAAAATAGTACACAATGACGTCATGTGTGACAGAATATCAGGATGTAGCCACTTTTCCAGTGTATGCCTGCATTGTGCGTACCCGTGTGTAGGTGTGTGCCCGTTTGTGGGTTGAGGACGCGGATTCGCGCGCCGGCCTACCGATTGCTTAGGGTCAATCTAAATAGAACGGATATCACTCCACGGCAAAGAAAAAAATTATAAATAAATAAAAAAGAATGGCAGATCGAAAGAAGGGAAATGACAAAAAAAAGCTCAAAATTGGAAGTAAAATGTTAAGTTTTTGAAAACCTGAAATTAATTAATCAACCCAAAGAAGCGTCGATAAGTGGCTGGGGTGGGGTGTTGGAATGAGGAAAATTAAATTTAATAATATTCAGTTTTTTCTTTGGGGCATTGCATAATGAAATCATGTTTCGCCTAACAATGAATTTATTTTTTAGTGGATGCATAGAGAATAGTTGTTGCCCATTTATCTTGATCTTGTGCTGGACAAAGCCACTTATCTATCTATCTATCTATCTATCTATCTATCTATCTATCTATGTTCACTATCTATCTTTCTACACACACACACACATGTGTGTGTGTGTGTGTCTTCATATCTATCTATCTGTATATATATGTTCATTATCTATCTATCTATCTATCTATCTATCTATCTATCTATCTATCTCAGACTTTGCCTATAACCATCTCTCCGCCTCTCTTTCCCTATCTATTACAGTTTTCTTATTTCTCTCTACTTTATACTAATCTATCTATCTATCTATCTCTGTTCACTATCTATCTATCTATCTTTGTACAGACACACACATGTGTGTGTGTGTTCATTCTATCTATCTATCTATCTATCTATCTATCTATCTATCTATCTATCTCAGACTTTGCCTATAACCTCTATCTCTCACTGTTTCTTTCTATTTATCTATCATGAAGTAGCATGTTCTCTGCAGATTCGGATAAGTGCTCTTTGTTCCTCCTTGATGCTCACTGCTAACGGAGCGGGTATGTTTACATTGTAACAGCGGCAAGAAAACTAACGCAATCTCAAACTTCGATCACATGACCGATATTATTAATTATAAGCACGCATGCACAGAAGGCAATGTGACAACTTGCCCTCGTATAAGCACCATCGTTTGCAATAACTAGTGCAGTTTTTCGATGCCATTTTGTTAAAACCTACATGCTTTATAAGAAAATAATTTTCAACAAACTTCTGAATGTGGTTTTCATTAGAGAAAAATTTCAACATCAAAGCGTTTTGAAGCAACTGAAAAAGGTAATTGTCAGTTTATGCAACGTCAGGTGAATATGGCGGGTGTAGTAGAACATACAAACTGGTGTTATTTTTGTTTTATAGATCCTTGGGATTAACATGGTTGATTGATTGATTGATTCGTTTTTTACGCTTTATCAACCTTTTGAAGATTATTTAAAGCCAGAAAACAATTTTAGATTGGAAGATTTTTTTGAAACAATTATGATGTAGCGATACAAATTTTACTAATTAACCCATAGCTGGTGGGAGAGGTTTATTTATACCTTTCCCAAGAGTATTTGCGAGTAAGTGAATTAAAAGAACTCAGTTGTAATTCGAACTCTGCCCTCCGATTAAAAATTTTGAGCCATTATCCCTTACATCAAACACAGAACCAAGCTTACAGTACATGGTATTCCCAAACGATCATCGATCTAGGTACTGACCAGGTTCGATGTTAATTTCTATGATCTTACGGAAACTGGAGTTTAAACGTGATACGGCCGTAAGTTTGAGGAGAATAACATTTTCCTATTGACGAACTAGATTACATTTACGTTACAGCTGCTGGACTTATAAATGTGCATTTAGTGTTTCATTGCGATTTAAGAACTATGAATAAATAATAACCCTGCCGATTCCATCACACCTATATTACCTTTTCTCTATGGAGCTCGGATTTTAGGGAGGGTTTTAGAGATTTATCTTGGTCAGTTCACTGCCTTTAGCGTTGAACATTGTTGTATGTGCAATCCATTTTTTTTCTTCACTGGCACATCGGATTAATAGTTACGGGTATGACGACAAACAACATCCGGCAGCAAAATCTCTGATCGGGAGATTTCGTGGAATCACTTCTTAATAGCTGTTGTTCCGAGATCCACCCTGACTGGGGTGGTAGCACCTGTTAGGGTCCCAGCTATGGGCAAATAGTTAACCTCCAAACTGGGGTCAAAACGCTATGAAAGCATAAAAATATTATAGTAAAAATACGTTTTTCATAGTTAGAAAATTAGCAGCAATACATCTTTATAAAAGAAAAGAAAATTAGCAGCAATGCATCTTTATAAAAGAAAAAAATTCGAAGCAATACTTCGTTATAAAAGAAAATAAAATTAGAAGCAATAAATCTTTATAAAAAAATTAGAAGCAATGCATATTTATAAAAGAAAAGAAAATTAGCAGCAATACAAGTTTATAAAAAAAATAGCAGCAATGCATCTTTATAAAAGAAAAAAATTCGAAGCAATACTTCGTTATAAAAGAAAATAAAATTAGCAGCAATACCTCTTTATAAAAAAAATTAGCAGCAATGCATCTTTATAAAAGAAAAAAAGTAGAGGCAATACTTCTTTATAAAATAAAATAAAATTAGCAGCAATACGTCTTTATAAAAGAAAAGAAATTAGCAGCAATACATCTTTATAAAAGAAAAGAACATTAGTAGCAATACATCTTTATAAAAGAAAAAAAATTAGCAGGAACATATTTTTTGTCAAAGAAATCACTAATACTCCCAAGAAAATTCAATTTCGGCATAAAATGACCCATAAGGTGTTGTTATACCGTTAGGATTACGCATTCGTCATTGTAAAATGTTTCCCTAGAACAGAAACTGCTTATGATTCGCTGCGCAGCAATTTGATAGAAATGACCCTTCATGAATTCATTTATATGTGTACTTAGAAGAATATCCAAATGCTTTAAATTTGAGATATATTTAAATGTGTCTTGTCTGGGAAGGAAAGAGTGGGCGCGTATGTTTATCTCGGCTTTTTCCTTAAAACGCTTGCGTGTACGCATGCGCATTTCATTTTATCGAATCGTTGAAATCACAGATCACAAAGACAACCACCATATTAACTTTCCCCTCTGTACCTGCTGACAACAGATAAAGAAACCTTTACAAATGATCTGTTAGATTTTTTCATAGACTCGCATTTCTCTCATGTCTATCAAGCATCCACATAATTTGCCTGAGGATTCCAATTAGTCTGAAGCAGTTAATTGCATCCTTTATCCAAATTATTCTCAAGTCAACATTTCATTACAACGACCCGTATTTTATTTGATCATGTTATATTTCTGTCGTCGTTTGCTTGCGTTAAATGTAAATTGAATGGGGAGTGTAGTTAAAAAGGAAAACAAAATGAAAATACGCTGCTGGCTAAAAGGGTTGCTGAAAATATCAATACAGATTTAATTTCTCGAAAATAGAAAATCAAAAAAATATTTCGTTGCAAAATATTAATTATATATGAGATCTGCCCGGAAAATATTTAGTCGCATAATATTAAGGAAAAAAAAATGGAGCCTACCTAGGGCAATGACAACTTAGTCCGTTTCGAAGTATTTGTCTTAAGACTTCACACACGTTCTCCAGCGCAATTTCTATTTTCAAGAGTCAAAAGGTTCGTAGAATTTTCATTGGTTTCATCTTCGCTTTTTCATGAAGGGCGCTACAAAATAAAAAAAATGTCGGGCGTGAAGTCAGTTGTTAAAAGTGGGGGGACACTAAAACTGATATTAAATTTAAGTTTGTTGATTTTATATCTTTTATCTGATTCTTTCATCTTCTTTTTCTTTTCAAATATATCTTTTTTAGTTTAAATACTCCCTTTTTTGTTGCTTTTAACTTGTTCTTGATATAATGGTGGTTTGTTTTTGCACGATTGCAATCGTCTATAACAAGACAAGATTTTTTTTTCATTCCTTTAACCCTAAAATCTCTTGAACTACTAATTCCCCTTTATTAATTTTTTTTTATAAATACAACTAAATGAAAGTTACTTTTTGAAAACGATAGGAAACTTTTGTTAGCTTTGAATAAAAAAAAACACTTTTGTTTTAACTAATGATTTGTAAACTCACATAAAGAAATGGAATAAGAAGAAAAATACTAATAAAAATGGGTAAAATGTTCATAAAATCTATTTTCTCTTATTTTCTGTTGTTAAATGGGAATGGCTTGTTGATTTTAACGCCCCCCCCCAAACTGCCCTCTTTTAATCATCTGAGAGAATCTTTTTTAATCTCCAGGAGAGCGACTCGTTGCGCCTTCTTAAATGTTTTTAGCTGACATGTGGTAGAAAAGTGTATATTGAATCAATTGCAGCTAAGAATGTTAGTTCATTATGTCACACCCCCACCCATAATCTATTTTACATATTTATAAGTCTACCATTCATCCATACTTTGAATATTGCTGCCTAGGGCCGTTGCTATATATTTACAAATTCTTGATAAAATCCAAAGAAAAATCTGCAACGTTATTGGTCTTGACTTGGTATCTTGACTTCAGTCACTTTCCCACCGCCGTAACGTAGCTTTTTTTTAATAATTTTTTATATTTCATGTTAATTGTTTTGATGAACTTTCCGCTATGGCACCCTAGACTTTATGAATATAAGCGCAGTACTAGATTGGCAGCAAGGTCTCATCAATTTACAGTTGGAATGGCTAGATATAACTTTATGGTTTATGTTAACAATTGCAATTCTCGATTATGATAATCCCTTCGGCTTCTTGCTTCCCACTCAACTTTGATATTCAAAAATTTAAATGCAATGTCAATCGCTATATTATCTTCTTAATTCATGTTTTTTTATTATCTTCTCTCCTTAATTGTAGTTTTTCTCTTAGTCTCTCACAGTTTGTAACTTCTTGCGTCATAGAAAAATGCCACTCTTAATTCACTATTATTATTAGAAACGCCCACCCCCAGGGCAGTGGATGTGTCGTGTCCACTAAAATATCAAATACATTGTTTATAATCACACCCAAGAAAAGACTTACATCTTAAAACACACCAATAAAATCATAGAATAAAAATTAGCATGTTTGTTGTATTAGTCATCATTATTTTTAGGTAGATACCGACCAAATATCGTACGGACGTAGTAGAAGACATATCACGTGACTTTTTAGGGCCAATTAGAAATAAATAAATAATTTAATTCTGGAGCCGATATTGTTCGGAAAAAGTGTATAAAAACATACGAAATTCGTTTCCACACAGGATACACACAGCTTTCACCAAACTCCACGCAACTCTCGCTTATGATCTTCACGACCTCTTGCCCCGTTCTCTTCCCCTCAGGCCTTGTGCCTCATCCCACCTCGCGTGGAGGTGAGGTAAATCCTCTTTTTCATTTCTTCATTTCAGCGACTGCAATGTAAGCTCTCTTAGAAGATTCGCGTCTTCCCATTTGTGGGAGACGCCATGAACATTATACACGTACGTACGAACATTCACCAAAGAACAGAGACAAACATTCACACCCACACAATATTATTGTCTGTGTCCATTGTAAAATTGTTTTGTTTAATACATATATTTGTTTATATATATATATATATATATATATATATATATATATATATATATATATATATCGGTCTTGTTTTCTTCTTTCATCTTCGGTTGGACACAACTAGAGTCCGTCATTTTTCTTGTAGCTGGACTTTTTTTTTAATATTCTACAAGGAGTTACACACGTGTTTCTAATACAATAACACGCAAATACACTGTCCTCTGCAGATGCTTTTCTTTGATCTCTTTCACGGTTTTTAAATTTTGGGTTTGGAAAATGCATTGCATCAGGTCAACGTAGCCAGTTCGTGAGATGTTCAAAATGGGTGCCAATGTTCCGTACGGTCCTTATAGTTCTAAAAGAACTTTCCGTTTTTAATTGTGAGATGGCATTAGAAGCGTTTAGTTTAAAATAGCTTCATTAAACAAAATCGCTTCTGACTAGATTGTGACAGCTGTCATATCAACTTACGCTAAAAACAAACTTGGCGCATTTTTATTGATTGAAACGCTGGAGAGCCTGGGTCTTGTGGCTAAAACGGCAACGTTCCGGACCATAAAACCCTGGTTCGACTCTCATCATAGTCGATTTTGCAAGGAGGTGCCATTGATTGAAATTGGTTAGACGCAACCATTCGATGGTTCTTTTATTCTTCTTTCTTGTCGTCTTCCTTTTTCTTTTTGCCTTTTTATATTTTGTTTCCTTTGCTCTATTTTTTGTATATTCTTCCTTTTCTCCTTCCCCTTTTTTGACTATTATTTCATTTTCCTTCCATTTGCATTCAATTCCTTTTCATTCGGCCATTCATTTCTATTCTTCCTTTCTAATACTTTTCCCTTTTTTTCTTTTTTTATCTTTTAATTTCTTTTTTTCTTTCTTTGCTTCTTTTTATTTCTCTTTTCCATTTTCATTTTTCTTCATTCCTTTCTTTTTTCTTTTTCTTTCTCTTTTTTCTTATCTTCTTCTTTCTTTTGTTTGTCGTTTCTTTATTACTTCCTTTCTTTTCTTTTTTTCTTTCTTTTAATTCTTCCTTCTTTTCTTTCTTTTTCTTTCTTCTGCTTGTAGTTTCTTTCTTCCTTTCTTTTCTTTTTTGCTTTCCTTTCTTTCTTTCTTATTTTATTTCTTTTTTCTTTCTTTCTTCCTTCTTTTCTTTCTTTTTTCTTTCTTTTAATTCTTCCTTCTTTTCTTTCTTTTTCTTTCTTCTGCTTGTAGTTTCTTTCTTCCTTTCTTTTCTTTTTTGCTTTCCTTTCTTTCTTATTTTCTTTCTTTTTTCTTTCTTTCTTCCTTCTTTTCTTTCTTTTTTCTTTCTTTTAATTCTTCCTTCTTTTCTTTCTTTTTCTTTCTTCTGCTTGTAGTTTCTTTCTTCCTTTCTTTTCTTTTTTGCTTTCCTTTCTTTCTTTCTTTCTTTCTTTCTTTCTTTCTTTTCTTCCTTCTTTTCTTTCTTTTTTCTTTCTTTTCTTTCTCCTCTCTTCTTTTTTTAATCCTACATTATTCATCTTTGCTATTTTTATTTTCTTTCTAACACTTATTATTTTTTCCTTTATTTTCATTTTAGTGTAAATTTAGAAAAAATATGACTCCATCTTTTTCTTGACAAAGATTTTCTAAGAATAGAAATATTTTACCAAAAAAAAAATTTCAAAACCAAATATTTTCCAGTGCAAGGAAATTAATTTCAATTAATAAGCTTTCAATTAAACCAATTTATTTTTTGTATTTGATTTCTTAAAAAAAAATAATAAAATTTCTAAAAGTTTGTTAATTACTAAACGAGGAGAATTGATTTTTATAGTCACTTCTTTTGATCATAATTTTCATTAATAAATTTCACTGATAAATTCGATTCTTTTTAAATCTACAATAGATTTTACCACAGAAATAAAAGAAATCTTTTAACATAAAAGTTAGTATTTTTCATTAACTATTACAAGTTTAGTATTGTGACGGATTTCTCCAGAGATCAAGTGAAAACAAATCTATTTAAGGTTTTTCACGCCCGAGTCCATCCTTCAAATCTACAAATCAACTATTCGTCCTTGCATTGAATACTGTCGCCATATACGGTCTGGTCACCCTCGCTGTTCATCTCAACGTTCTCGACAAAATCCAGAGATGGATATGCAATGTGATAGGTCCTGATCTGGCATCTCGTCTACAATCACTTTCTCACAGACGTGATATAGCTTCCCTCCGTTTTTTCTACAAATATTTTCATGCTAACTGCTCTGGCGAGCTACTTTCATTGGTTCCTAAACTGCGTGAATTTAAGCATGCTACTAAGTTGGCATCTCAGTCCCACCCTGCCACTGTCAAAACCGTTAAATGTAACCGCCTCCCCTACTCCAACAGCTTCTTCTCTCGCACTTCCCAACAGTGGAACTCCCTTCCTCTTACTTGCTTCCCTGATAGCTATAATCTTCAAATATTCAAATGTAATGTCAATCGACATCTTCTGATGCCTTGATCCTGATCCACGTCCTTCTCTATATCCTTTCCTCAAACACACCCGCCTTTACTCTTGCTCTCACTCTTTGTAAACCCTTGCGTGCTAGTGGCACTCCCGCCTTGGGAGAGATGTTATTGTTTGGAAGGAGAGATCCCCTTACATAAAAGCATCAGGTAAATGTTTTTTTTTTTTTCTGGGGTTTCTTCTCATTCTAGTCTCTTTGCACCACTCGGCCCTGCTTTTGACTCCCGACTTGTCCCTCCATGACGTCGCCCCACGTTGTTACCTCACACTGTCTCCCCGTTCGTGACTCTAGAGGTTTTTCTTCAGCACATTTCTTCGTGAACCAATTTATTCGTGATGAGAGGCGTTCGTGATGATAGGCGTTCGTGACCTGAGGTTTCATTGCTATTTTCGATAAAAAGGGGTTTTTATTTCTTGTGAAAATGATTATCAGAATACGTTCCATTAATCTGCTTTCGATAAATTGAATCTGTCTAATTTGTTCATTCTACAAAATCTGAATTCATTTAAATTGATTTATTTAAATTTATTTTCACAAACACTACAATTACCTGGCGTCTTATACTGGGGAACAAGTGGCACAGAGTCTGTCCACTACTCCAGCACTCTCCACAATAATATTTATTTATTGTTATATTCCGTGCTACTAGTAATATATACTTGACAAACACGGTGGATAAAATAAGTAAATGTTTATTGTAAAAAAAAACAAAAAAATAGAGTAGAATAAGAATAAATGTAACAGTTATGCACAAAGTCGTCACAAGTCAATCTAGTAGTGAGTGCTACTATTGGAAGGTCGGTATTTCTGGCGTAAGTCGTACTCCACAGATCCCAGCTAGACAATATTTACCAGTCTCCCTACGAGGTAGGAATTGGCACAAGGCCGAGTTTAATGTGAGGCAATCCGAGCCCGCAGGCTTGGCCAAAAATTCCCCGTAGACCCCGTATAAAACGGGGTCAGGTAGCTGTTTCCCGAGACGAGACTCTGCCCTTCGACATAGCCTCGTCTGGGGATCCTCTCTGCCCGGAGGCAGAGAGTTCGACCAGCACAGCTGGAAAAGGTCCCAGCTAGACGGTATCTAGTAACTGCCCCACGCAGTCACATGTGGCACAAGACCGAATTTAATGTGGGGTTCCCGAGCCCGTAGGCTGGGCCAAAAAATCCCTGTAGACCCCTCAAAAACGGGATCGGGTCTGTCTACCTCACCAGACGAGACTCTGCTCTTCGGCATAGCCTCTCCGGGTTCATCTCTGCCCAAAGGCAGAGAGTTCGGCCAGCACAGCTGGAAAAGATTCCAGCTACACTCTGTAGTCCGTTGACTTACAGATATAGGTAGCTACTACCTATAGTGTAGTCAATCATGGGTGTGACAGGTTATTCCATTACATCATTTATTTATTTTTATTAAATTTTCACCTCAAATAATGCTCAATAACAACTCAAGGGACTGCTTACTTGTAATTGCTGCGGCATTCACCCGGGATGAGTTGATCTGGCTCCGCCAAACGAGCCTGTCACATCTTGAACATAAGCCGACCAAGATCGGTGGTCGAATGCAATTGAGTCAATAACAGCTAACCAATGACAGCTCCAACGGCGTGTCTCGAACACGCGCGGACTGAAGCACGACTCTACGTCTTTTTTAACCGCCTTAATTCTTAAGCCACTTTTTTTAGCCACGTCACCCTTGTGGAAAGGGGGTCAGGAGCAATCGTGTCATGGATGAAATCGCCCAGTTCTCGATAAAATTGCATGGCAAAATCAACGAAATCGCCAGTCAAAGTTGAGGATTACTTACCGAGGTTGTTCTATGGCTGAAAAAGACGACGAAGCAAGTGTTGATTATGAGTATATATATATATATATATATATATATATATATATATATATATATATATATATATATACTGTGTCCCTTCAGAGTGTTGGTGATCATGACTCTCCACAATTTCCTGGTCCCTGCTGCTCTTAACAACTTTTGTATATTTGTCATCTCTACCAGATCCTCCGCCAACATCCTTTCACGTAAGCATGCCAGGTAGGTTATTCCTTGCTTTTCTGTGTCGCTCTTACCTTTAATCTGTCTTGTGAGTATCATATTTTCCAAGGCCTCTTTCTTCATTATGTGACCCAGAAATTTCTCCGCCTGATTTTAGGTATAAGGTTCCGTTTTGCCATTATTTCTAGAACTTCGTTGTTGCTTACATGTTCGGTCCACATGTCAGTATGTTTTTGTAGAACTATATTTCTGTTTCATCAAGTCTCTTCTTTTGAGGGGATTGTCCAGCATTCACTGCTATATGTCTATATTTCTGAAATGAGGTATTATGTACACTATTTACATTGTTCGGACTATCGTCCTCATCTTTGTTGCCATATTAATCACAACTTTTCGGCCGATGTACGCTCCGACCTTCTTCAGGTGATTGGAATGTCGAACTGAACCCATTATCCCGACCGCTGGGGTAGACTTTTCTAGTTCCACGTGCCATGTCTAATGGATGTCAGTTATCAGTTCGACATTCCAACCATCTGAAGAAGGCCGGAGCGTTCAACGGCCGAAACGTTGTGATAAATATGGCAACAAAGATGAGGACGATAGTCCGAACAATGTAAATAGTATATATATATATATATATATATATATATATATATATATGATTAGTGGTGTTATGTAATATTTCAGTACTATTTCCTTCTTAGATGTGAAAGAAATGAGTATCATTTGAGCTATCTATGTGATACGGCGGGCCTTAGCTGTAAAGGTCTGAATTGACGGAAGTAAAGAATCTAGCTCGTGTGAACATTTTTCATTCAAGACGAAGAGCGCCATTGAATTGTACGACCACTTGACTGGATAAAATTGGGGTAAGGAATGGCGTAGTAACTTTAACGCCCTCAAGACGAAAATTCACCCTATCGATCGTCTGATTGACCCCTTCCTGCCTCCCATCAGCATGGCTGATGCTAACCTCCAGGAAAGTGACTCGTTGGGCCTTGCCTAGCAACATTTTCCGCTAACATGAAGAGGTCCGCTGCTCAGAAAGTGGGTTCACTGTGTTGTAAAGGACAAATTTTCTTTTTAGAATCTATCTTACATATTTATAAGTCTACCATTCGTCCATACATTCAATATTGCAGCCATATCTGGTCTGCTGCTCCCGCGATACATTTACAAATTCTTGTTTAAATTCAAAGAAGAATCTGCAATGTTATTGGTCCTGATCTGGTATCTCGGTTTCAGTCGTTTTCGCACCGCCGTAATGTAGCTCACCTGTTCCTTTTCTATAAATACTTTCATGGTAATTGTTCTGATGAACTTTCCTCTATGATAGCTTATGAATTTAAGCGTAGTATTAGATTAACGGAAATGTCTCATCATTTTACAGTTGACATGGCTAGATTTAACCGTAAGTTCTTTGCTAACAGTTTCTTTTGTCGCACTTCTCTCTTGTGGAACTCTTTTAGGCTTTCGCTTTTCCGTCATCTTTGATTTTCAAAAATATAAATGCAATGTCAATTGTTATTTTCTGTCGTCATAATTCCTGGCCTTTTATTGTTCTCTCTCTTTAGTAGCATTTTGGTGATATTCTCTGACACTCAGTGACCCCTTTACATCTTAGTGGCTTTATTGTTTTGCTTGGGGTGAAATGATTCAAGAAAAAAACAAAACAAAGCCTATAATGATGCAATCCTTTATCAAAACCCATCCCCATCCATTTTTGTTGTTTTCCGTCATTATGCATCACTATATATTGGCTGGTGTGTTCTTTGGCCTCACTCATCTTATATTGATGCCATGCATGGTGCCAACCCCGTTCAGAAATATCTCAACTGTATACAACCATTTTCATAGAGCAATGGTTAAAGATGGGTTTGAGCGAGTGAAGCTTGTGGGTCTTGGACAAGATCACACGTCTTCGAACTTTTAACATTGGCGCTACAGAATCACAAACAAATAGCTCTACCAAATAACAAAAACAATATCACTTGAGGACTTTCAACAGCAGTAACAGATAAAATGGTTAGCACATTTGACTCGAAGAGAAAATAAGGACATACGCAAAATGTTGACATTCCATAGAAATTTCGTTCTTTTCGTATCTTTCTTCTTCCTCTTCTTCTTCTTCTTCCTCTTCTTCTTCCTCTTCTTCTTCTTCTTCCTCTTCTTCTTCTTCTTCTTCCTCTTCTTCTTCTTCTTCATTTTTGTCTTTCCCAAGTGTTTCTTTCTTTCTTTCTTTCTTTCTTCATTTCTTCATTCCTTTCTCCCTTTCTTTCTTTTTTTCTTTCGCTAAGTTTTTCTTTTGCTTTTGTGTTTTTCTTCCTTCACTCTAGAAATTCATTCTTTCTATCTGCTTTACATTTTTTCTTCCTTCCCCCTTTTTAAACTTATCTTTCTTTTTTCATTCTTTTGTGTCTTTTTTTTTTCGTTTTTTTTTCTTTCTTCAATCTATAAACTTTCTTTCATTCTTTTTTTCTACGTATTTTCATTCTTCTTCCTTTTTTCATTATTTTTTCGTCTTTTTCTTTCTCTACAATCTACAAACTTCTTTCTTTCTTTCTTTCTTTCTTTCTTTCTTTCTTTCTTTCTTTCTTTCTACATATTTTACATATTTTTATCTTTCTTTTCACTTCCTTCTCCTTTAAATTCCCCTCACTTCAGAAACATTCCCCCCCCATAAAACATTTGGCACTGATTGCTGCCCACGCTCCGGTCACCACCTCCTCGACTATTGAATAGATTATTTCTTATTTAATTGGCTACTAAAAAAGACTTCAATCCACCACAACTCATAGACATTATGGAATAGAGCTATGCGAAGGTCAGGGAAGGGGTTAATTGTGAAGTTTCGTCTTTAATTGTGATGACGTCGAGGGTGAGAGTTGGGAAGAAAGTGTGGGTCGGGCACGATGAGCGTTGGGGGAAGAGGTCCGGCTGCGTGGGGAGAAGAGTTGACGAGGGTATGGGAGAGAAGAAATTGAAACAGAAAGAGATGACAATCAGAGAACGAGAATATGCGCCGTGTGTATACGCGCGTACAGGCGGGGGAGTGTACCGATTCTTAACGCATTCTCCCCTCCACGTCCCTGAAAATGAACGCCCCGGGGTGCGAACAGAGGTACCGCATTACCAACAGAGTTGAGAAATTAACACTTGGATCTTTTGTATTCATTAACGATAACAAAAAAAAATCTGATAAAAAAAAAAACAGGTAAGTGTTTGTTTTTTTTTCATTTCGCCGTTGTCAATTCTCATATAATATATATATATATATATATATATATATATATATATAAACTTTACATCTGTGCATATATATATATATATATATATATATATATATATATATATATATATATATATATATGACTTGTTTCACGCTGAGAAAGAGTGATTATCAGATTTTGGTTTCTTAGACCATTTCGTGTCGTAGTCATGTAGATTCGCACTGGGTTAAAGTCCGATGCTTTTTTTACCGAACGAAGATAAGAATCGAAGATAGGCAAAGGTCATAACTCAGTTAAATTCAATAGCTTACTGAATTTGGCACTTGTTGTGTACTAGATACTTATGATACTCTCTATCTATCTATCTATCTATCTATCTATATATATATATATATATATATATATATATATATATATATATATGAGAGCCCTACTATTGGCGACACAGTTTTCTTATGATTTTCGAGTGCACAGCCAGTTAAATACAATTCATATTGTGTGAACAAAGGAGGCTATCTACTCATACAAGGAAGTCAACTAAAATATAACGTGATAAGAAAAAAGATATATATATATATATATATATATATATATATATATATATATAGATGGATAGACAGATAGATATAGATATAGTTAATTTTATGTATATATATATGTATATATATATATATGATATATATCTAAATGCATATTTATCTATATATATATATATATATATATATATATATATATATATATAATATATATATTTCTTGTATACATCCAATTTCATTTATATATAAGGTAATTTACTCATTATTGGCACTCTTATATAATGACATATATATATATATATATATATATATATATATATATATAGTTGTGTGAAACATATATTCGTACACATACAAGTTTTTAAATTATTGTATGAAAAAATTATTCGTAAAATAGACAAAAAAATGCATAATCTTCATTTAATACTTATTCACTTCAACCAACCTCTTCCTGGAGTTCTCAAGTAATGATTTGCAAAATTAGTTGGTGTTTTATTCCAATTTTCTTCCCATCTTGAAATCCAGGATGTTTTTTGGAGCACTCGGTTAGATTTTAATTTTTTCAAATAACGCCACAGATTCTCGATTGGGTTTAAATCTGAGGACTGACTTGGCCATTTCAGAATATTTACATAATTTTCAACAGGCCATTTCTTCATAGATTTTGCAGAGTGTTTAGGATCATTATCTTGTTGGAAAATCGAATCAGGAGGAAGTTCAAAATTTTCAACCGAAATCACTAAATTTGCTTCCAAAATATTTTGATATGCTGTGGCATTCATTCTACCATCTATTACTGTTATGTTGCTAGTATCTTTTGCAGAAAAACATCCCCAAACCATGATGTTGCCACCACCAAATTTAATTGTTGGAACTGTGTTCTTTTGTTTGATGGCATCGCCATCATTCTTCCATGCATGATTCTTCCATGCATGATTTCTAGAATTACGTCCAAACAACTCAATTTTGGTTTCGTCTGCTCATAATACTCTTTCCCAATACGATTTTCCTTATCATTATGTTCACGAACGAATTTCAACCTGGCATCTCTGTATCTTTTTAATTGCAATGGAGTTTTTTGAGGGGAGACTGATTTTAGATTGTTCTTATGAATTTCATTGCTTATTGTCCATTTAGTGACACAGATTCTTGATGAAAGCAAATCCTCCTGCAACTCTTGACGAGTAACCATTTGGTTTTGTTTAATATGATGCGTTAATTTCCTCGAAGTTCTTGAAGAAATCTTCCGTGGAGCACCTGTTCTTTTGTTTTCAACAGTTTTGAGGGTTTTATATGTCGCAGTGAATGAACCAATGGTAGTAAATGGAATATTCAGGTTGTCTGAGATTTTCCTGTGAGTTTTACCTTCTTTCAAGAGCTTAACAACCAGTTCTTTTTGCGAATTTGTCAATTCTTTACATTTTAACATGATGAAAACCTTCTTGCACAAATAACAATTTCAAAATGTTCTGTTTGTATTTTTTGGGCGAAAAATATCTACTGGTAATATTATTGGAACATTCTAGAATATTCCACTTGATTAATCTAGAGTATTAAAGCAATTTAAAAGTTTCAAAATCTGAAGTTTACATTGTACCAATACTTTTTTTCAGTCATTAAAATGAATAAATGGGATTTATTTCTATTAAAACATTTTTTTTCTGTTTTCCATACATATTTAGTTATTATACATCTGTGTCCAATTAATAATATGAAAATGTTTGTTCATTAGTTGGAAATACAATAAATTCAAAATTTGTATGTGTACGAATACTTTTTTCCAGCCATTGTATGAACACATTCAGAGGTTATTTAAAATATGTTTTTGCCTGTTTTGTCACTTTGTACTAGAATAGAATTTCACTCCCTCAATCACTCGCTCATACAAACTCTCTCTCTCTCTCTCTCTTTCAATATATATATATATATATATATATATATATCTGTGTGTGCGTGTGTGTGTTGTTTGTGTGTGTGATTGTGTGTGCATGTTTGTGTGTTTGGATAACATTCCAGTTTCATGTTTACAATGTTTAAGTGAATACCGGGGAAATAAAGATGAAGATAGTTTGACGCTTTTCTTGCCTTGAAAATCTGCATCTAGAATTTTTACATTATGCGGCAACCTCCAGGCCGCACACACGCACACACACACACACAAGAAAACATGGACACGCACACTCACATGTCACGGGCTTTAATTTAGTCAAAAAAGGCAAATATATAATAAATATCATTTTGTTGGCTTTCTATTCCTTAATTTCCATTAACCAGCTTACTAAATTTACACACACACACACACACACACATGATGTGTATGTGTATGTGCGTGTGTGAGTTATTTTTTAATTTATATCTATCTATCTCTCTCTCTCTCTCTCTCTATATATATATATATATATATATATATATATATATATATTCTAAAAGTGTGTGTGTGTGTGTATGGTAGAAAGAAGATTAGTGAAAATTTCACTACGTTCACGTTCTCAAAATGTAAACAAATGGGTAAACGATGGCCGATAAATTCTTGGGACATTCTCGGATATATATATATATATATATATATATATATATATATATATATATATATATATCTGTGTGTGTGTGTGTGTGCGTGCGTGCGTGTGTCTGTATGTGTTAAAATCCGACACAATTACAATTATGTTTCAACACTACAAATGTGTCTCCTCGGGTGATGTTAGACTCAGAGTCACATTTGTGGTGTTGAAACATAATTGTAATTAATAGCATTTTTAACATGTTTTTCTTTAAAATCATAAAATAAATAATATTTAGCTCTTTTAAATTAAATGTTACGTGTAGTTGAATTATACTCCATTTGTTCGCATTTTTACCTGTATATATATATATATATATATATATATATATATATATATATATATATATATGTGTGTGTGTGTGTGTGCCTCTGTATCTGTGTTTGTGTCACTGTGTGTGTATGGGTTTATATAACAATCTTTCCATCGGATAATTCTGCAGGTCTTCAATTTGAAATTCTTTTTTCAACCGCTGCTCAAATCGTCACAATTGCCAAAGTTGAGAAATCTACCTTAGAGAACCACTTATAAAAGTTGTCATCCACTTTAAGCTTTTTTTTCAACAATTACCGGCTTACAAACAGATGTTTTAACATAACTTCGTTGCCGCTTTTCTGAGTCATTTTTTGTTAAACTTGCCTTCATACTTTTCGAAATCAAAAGTAGATAAAATAAAGTCTCTAAAATGAACACGAAAAGAAAGATCTGCTCCTTCATATAAAACATACAATATTTTAAAACAAATAAACTTCTTAAAAGAAATGTCCATTTCCAGAAATTATTTTACACTAAGTTCACCCACTACAAGGCTCGAGAGCTATTCAAGGTAGAAGGTTACTATTACAATTGTTATGATAGATGCGGTGTGTGATATAAATGGCATACGAAATGGTAGGAAGTGAAGATTATGAGGATAAGGATGATAGATAACGATTCGCACTTGATTTGAAGAGCTTAAAATTGTAGTATTCAGGGGAGCACCCACATTGGAGTCTTTTCCGCAATATAGCAGTTATTTGGTAAAAGCAGTGTATTAATGGATATTGTTATTTTGTTTAGATCTCCTTAGCTTGAGTAAATACTTACTGAATCATTGCTTCTGCCATCGTAAAAAAAAACTTCATTCTTGTTTCTCGGGAACAGTAAAAGACGCTATAATTTACGGCAGAGAATCCAGAATTCTTCAACTTTCTTTGGATTCTTTTGATAAAATCTGATGCATGTGTTATGTTCATAGCTTTTCATTCTGAACAACTATTCAATCTTTCCATATCGTAAGTGCATTTGTTAAATTTCTATTTTACATTGATATAGCCCTTCGTAAGATATGAGCTCTACCTGTGAGTAAACTCTTTTTTTCAAGAACACCAGAAAGCTGTAACGCAAGGGGAAGTAGAAAAATCAGGCGTGGCTGACCACATATGAAGAGAGAAGGGAGATCACCGCCCTCTATGGGATCAGGTTGGGATCATAGACAAAGAACACCATTGGAAAATTCGTAAACTCAAGGAATCAGCACATATGCTAGGCCACAAAAATCTCCTGAGCCGACCAAGCATAGAAATAAATACAATATGGGAACCAGTTATAAGGAGTACCAGAGAAAAGCAATAATAACAACGAAAATTGCAATATGAGCACTGGTAAAAACATGAAATGATAACAGCAAAAATTGCAATATGAGCACTGGTAAAAAAAATGGACTGAAGACATTCGGTTTATAATACCCAGAAATTCATACCCAGATGTCCTCAAGGACACATGACACAGTGGATAAAGGCGTTGGTTAGATCCAGTGATAGAACCCAAATGGTGTGAGTTCAATACCTGGTTAAGGCAGTGGAAAACTTTCAGAGAGAAATTAACAGGCGATAACTGATAACTGACATCCATTAAAACATGGCACGTGGAACTAGAACAGTCTACCCCAGTGAGTGAAATAAAGGGTTCAGTTCGACATTCCAACCACCGGAAGAAGGCCGGAGCGTACAACAGCCGAAACGTTGTAATAAATAGTCCGAATGATGTACACTTTTCTTTTTTTTTTTGGTATTTTTTAAGGTTTAGGCTACCAGGAATCCCTTCAATGACTCTATCAGTACCTTTTCCAATCAAACCGAGGCCTCCAACTACAACTGAAATTAGTGATGTAATCACGAGCTACATTTATGAGAATTCCATTTCAAGATCGTTGTATTTTGATAGTTTTTTGTTTTTTTAAATCTTCAAAGATACATTACCATCTGCAAGGACTGCCATGTCAATAAGAAAGCACATTTTGTTCTTGTGGTCTTTGATCACAATGTCTGGGCGATTACTTTTGATTGTTCTGTCTGTGTGTCTTGTAAATGCCCATAGAATTGTTACAAGTCTTATTTGTGTAAACAGCTCTTGTCGATGTTCATGTCAGTTTCTTATAATTTCCTTGCCATAAAAATTATATATTTTATATTCAGTGGATGCTAGAACCGTGCCACCTCATACAAGATGGTCAATTGTTTCTGGATATTTATTATCATTATTTATTTCCTTTGATTTCTCTTCTATCCACATTTCCTTCCGGGTGCCAACCAGAGACCTAATGTCAGAAATGGCATCATGGCATTTTTCCACTGAGCATTTTTGTAAAAAAAAAAAAAAAAAAAATCACTCATTATACATAGATAAAGCCCTTCGTAATATGTGATCTGCACTTTCGTGTACATTTATTTTTTTTATTTCTTTACGGCATAGGCTACCAGGAATCCCTTCAATGAATCTATCGGAACCGGTTCAAATCAATCCGAGGGTTCCGTCTCTGGAATTAATGATGTTCTCGTGTGCCACATTTTTGAGATTTTCACTTTAAGCTTCTTGTATTTTATTAGTGTTTTAAAGATCTTCAAAGATACATTACAGTATACAAGAATAAGAAAAAAAAACACATTCTGTTTTGTGGTCTTTCATTGTGTGTATTGTAAAGTCCCATCATCTAGTTACAGGCCCTATTATTATTATTATTATTATTGAGTGAAACAGAAGCACGTGAAAATACGTACGCATATTAGTAGCCGAATATTATTGGTTTACTATTATTAGTCTAATATTCCTATTAGTCTGTTATTAGTTTATTATTATTAGATATTATTACTCTATTATTATTAGTCTATTATTGGTCTACTATTATTATTGAGTGAGGGTGAAAGACGCCAAAATACGTACGTAGGGGTGCATATATGGGTAGAGTAATATACGCATCCCAACACCAAGCCTGATAAAGGTATACCAAGTACATTGAAATCCACCGAAATACTTGCACACCCAAATATATATTGACAGGTTTTGATAAAAACAGAGCAAAAGCTATCAGGTCGGGTCCCAGTTAGAAATAGCTTCAAGGATCAGGTAACCCAATCTACTGAGATGGTCTCTCAAATATCTTGATATGACTCCTAAGTCGTTTTGGCTCGTCTTGATCGTTTTCTATAAATATTTTCATAGCAATTGTTCTGATGAGTTTTCCTCTTTGAAACATCGTCTTCATAAATATACGCATCTTACAAGAGACTGGCATCTCGGTGCCATCATTTTATTGCTAGACATAACAGCAAGTTCTATTCTAATAGTTTCTTCCCTCGTATTTCTCTTCCGGCTTCTTGTTTTCATGCCAACTACAATTTTCAAAAATCCAAACGACTTAAATTCCATTCTTTCATTGCTCTTTCACCCCAATAATTTTTTGTAAGTTTCTTTTAGCTATCATGTTAAAACACCAGTTCTCGTATGAGCAACGAAGTTAAGCAACGTCGAGCCTGTCCAGTACCTAGATGGGTGACTGCTTGGGAATACCAAGTGCTGTAAGGTTGGGTGTGCGGCTGGCGCAATGGATAACGGTTCGAAGCCGAGTTCCAATTCTAGTCGGGTTCGTTACATTAACTTATTCTTGGGAAAAATATGACTTCACCTCTTCTCCCTCAGCTATGGGTTAATTAGTATCACTTGTATTACTAAATTCTTACATTTAAAAATATTTTCTGGCTGTAGATAATCTGCAAAAGGTTGACAAACCGTAAAAAAGCAAATCAATTAATCTTAAGTTTCTTTCACACTCAGTAACTCCTTGTATCTTTGCGGGTTTATCACCTTCCCTGTGATGAAAGGGTTTAAAAAAGAAAAAATCTGTTGATGGCAGACACAAAAAAACCCGACAAGAACAAGGTTGTAAAGGAAAGCGAGAAGAAAGGGCTATCTATCGTCTTTAAGAAGACAATCGGGGAGTTAGAATCAATCAAATACAGAAATTTAACTCGTTGTCAAGTTTTATAACAGACGATGAAAAATATGACACCGAAATCCGAAGCACGAATTGAAATAGAGAAAAATGCCTTCTAAAATCTAAGCAAAGTATCAAGAAACAGGAGAATTTGATTAAAAACAAAGAAAAGTTTGCTGAAGTGCGACGTAATACAATTCCTCTTGTGCAGTAGTGAATTCTGGACAATTTCTTTCCAAATGAAGAATAGATTTGAGGCAACAGAAATGTGAATCTACAGAAGGATACTGAGAATATCATGGACGAATCCTATGAGCAACTAGGAAGTTTTAAGGAAAATTGAAGCAAAAAGGACACTTATACTTAGAAGCAGAAAATTGCAGCTGAAATTTCTGGGACACATAATAAGGAAATGTGGCTTAGAAAATCTGATACTCACAAGGCAGACTGAAGGAACTAGGTTTCAGAGGGAAACAGTGGCTAATTTACTTAACTAGTTTGTATAAATGAATGATAGATTCGAGACTGAGATAGATAGAGAAAAATAGCTTTGAACTACAAAGTATAAGGAAGTAGTGGAGAACTATGACAGTGTATGTCCTGAAAAGACACGGCAGATAAAGGAAAAAAAAGCTTGAAGTTGTAATTATGGAAGTCTAAGTAACGATCGAATTCACTATCGATTGCTTATGTGACACTAGCAAAGAGACCTTCTTATTCATTCGTTATTGTACTAATTTTTAAAATCCATCTTCAACGACAAGAGTTAATCTGTAAATTAAAGCTCATGGCCACAACCGATTTGATAGACATTTCTATATTCTCAGCATAAAGAACAAGTGACCATTTCCGTTTCTACTTTCGTGGAATGAAATATCACTCACGCAGTCGTATTGTGGTTAAATTAGCCAATGGTTAACGGTTGGCCATAATATATTTAATGAAACCTTTACCATTTTAGACTTTCTTAAAGATAAAGAAGAGATTTGAAGCAGCAGAAATGTGGTTCTGGTAATGAGGAAAGAGGGCTTGGAAAATCTGATACTCACAGGACAGATTGAGGGAAAGAAGGACACAAGAAAGCTGCACGTAACATACTTAACATCAGGAAAATGCAGTTGAAATTTCCGAGGCATGTAATGAGGGCTTGAAAAATTTGAGGTAGATTGAAAGGAAACCGGAAAGCCTATACACCTTGCACAAACGGTTGATAGAGCAGGGATTAGAATTTTAACAAAAAGATATACCTCACTAAGAGCTACAAATGGCCGAAACTTGTGGAGAGCCATGATCGTTCACGTCTTTAAGTGACACGGCACAGAGAAGATGTATTCTCCTGTTTGACGACAGTGTACTTCGCTGGCAATGCGTTTTTGTTGTTTTTTTTAAATAAATGTTCACTTAATTTTCTTCTTCCATGTGCCGTGTCCCTTCAGAACGTTAGCGATCATGGCTCTCCACAATTTCCTGTGCTTTGTAGCTTTTAATAAATTTTATCTTTTTGTTATCTCTCCTAAAACGTGTTCCTCCATTCATTTACTCAATCTGTTTCTTCTTCTTCTTCTTCTTCTTCTTCTTCTTCTTCTTCTTCTATGTGTTGTGTCCCTTCAGGACGTTGACGATCATGGCTCACCAAAACTTCCTCTTTTTTAGCTCTTAAGAAATGTTGTCTTTTTGCTACCCCCTCCCAAACCCTACTCCGCCATCGATTCCCTCAAACTCGCCAGGTAAGTTTTGAGTTGTTTTCCTCTGTCCCGTGAAACTCTCCTGTGAGTATCCAATTTCCCAAACCGTCTTTCCTCATTTCAACAGTCTCTCCCGGGTGTCAAATATGACTGTCCTTTTTGCTTCCATTTAAAAGTCACACAAGGAGAGCATTAATGGAATTGTTGAATGGACGTAATCTGCGGAAGTCAATACATATCCTGAGGATATGTAGGATAGATAAGAGTTAACCCTCAACTTTAAAAGGTTAAGACTATAACGACCCTAGAATCATCATCTCGAGAGTCTGTTCCGCAAAGAAGTGGTTCTCTGGGGGTAGACAACTATCTGGATGGACCTTCTTTATTATCAGGGGAATGAGGATGTTTCGACTCTATGTATGCATCATGGTGAGTCCGAGCTGTATAGGTTTGGACTAAGGAATGTAGCTTATCTTAAAATTCGCCATGGAAACAACAACAGAGTAGTAATAGGCTAGCAACGGTTAGTTTGAGTGAAAGAGGTTGTAGGGTGGTAAATAATTCATCACCCACAAGGCCGTGTAAACTCTTTTGTCAACGCTGGAAAAAAGTGAAGTTCAAGCTGTTCCACACCAGGTACATCAGCTGTGCTTCAGGAAGAGTCAGCCTCTTTCTGGATCGGTACAAAGAGCCGATTATTTTTACTAAATCTTTAGCGATTGATCGGATATATGTGTTCCACTAGAGGTCTGGGGTGAATTTGAGTTCCAAAAGACGTTCAAGGCAGGGTTCAAATGCTTCATCATTGGCTGGAGAAAGTTATCTACTTAGTGATGATGGAAATTTGTTTTTATGACACTGGGTGCTAAAAGTTAAACCTCACCCCTTTGATCTGTTAGAGCTAAGCTAGAAGAAAGATCATCAGCCAGGAATTGCTGATTTGCATTTTAAGAGGTGAACCTATAAACTGTTGCATCGTGTGAATAGATATTTTATTAATAGTCAGAGAATGTTCCTGGGCTGATCGTTAATATAAACAAAACGAATACACCATTTGCCTTCTCTTCACGTCCCAAACTCTTACAATATATATTATAATGGAAATGAGTCCAACCTTCCACCTAAAAAATAAAATAAAACAATATAAAACACTCATTGGGAAGTAACGAAGACATTTGAACTGTAGTTTAAATTCTAAAAACTTTTGAACAGTCATGTTCAAATTCAATCACTTAGCGTCCTCCATAGTTTCATTCACTTTGATAGCGTCGAGTGATTTCCATATTATTTGGGAAATTTTCTCAAATTTAAATTGGAATCCATAAGGTTAATTTTTCTCAACAATATTCTTTTTAGTGCATTTTGTTTAGTAATCTTCATCCAATACAAGGCCCAAGAGCCACTCAAGGTAGAGGGTGTTGTATTGGCGTAAGAAAGCGTTATAATAGAGATAAAATAGACTTTAGAAGGAACCGGAAACCCAATCCTAAACAGAAAACAAGAGATAAACCTCTACTCCCGTTCAAAAAACCAGGGAGGAGTGTGAACCGGACCATAGGCGAACCTATCTACTTGCTATAAAATAATGACACCTAACTGCAAACATCGTACTGCTCTTAAATTCGTAAAGTCAAAGTATTAAACGAAAGCGCATCAGAACATTTACCATGAAAATATTTATAGAAAAAAAACTACATTACGGCGATGGGGAAGTGAATGACACCGAGATGCCAGATTAGGACAGTTAACATTGCAGATTCTTCTTTGGATTTAAAAAAAAATATCTCTAAATTACTATTTATATACATATTAGGCATCTGACGTAGCGTAAGACTTAGTCACTGAATTAACTGGAGATTAACTGGAGATTAGTTCTTACTGGGTCTCTCAGTCTACTGATATTAGTGTACACTTAGTCGGGTAAGTAAATAGGTACACGTGTACTTAGCCTATTTACATAAGCGCCGGGACATAAATCACCAAGTATTGAAGAAGCGATTCTAAAATTTGAAACAAATGGCGGTTTACTCCAAATCTGATCATTTGAAGATATCTAAGGAGCCTCGCTTTAAAAGTCCCGGCTAACATAGTTGGACATCTCCTCTAATCTCTAGGGAGATTTCCTCGGGAATAAAATTGGCTGGAAGTCAACAGATTTCTTTTAGCCTTGTTCTCTTATTCCTGCTAAGCACCAATTTTCTTTCTTGACCGGAGATCAATTAATTTTTTCCCCGACAAAATTCCCTCTTATTCATTTTTATTTTTCCTAAACTCTTAATATATATTTTTATTTTTAGAGTCTCAGGTCTTGATGGGTAATGTCGGCAGCTTTTTATAAAACTGACTTTGCTTGAAAACATTTTTATGGAAGGGTGAGAAAGAAAAACGAGGAAATTTTTCTGATCTGTTTACTTTGAGAATTTTGCATAAAAATTTTATATCGATGCGCGTTCATACACATTTGCATAGCTCGATAGGTATAAAGTGATATATATATATATATATATATATATATATATATATATATATATATATAAACAAATATATATATATATATATAAACAAATATATATATATATATATAAAACAAATATATATATATATATATATATATATATATATATATATATATAAAAACAAATATATATATATATATATATATATGCATGCACATAAAAAGAACAATGGAACAGTTTTTCTATCATTTATCATCCAAAAGAAAAAAATTATTTGATTACATGACAAATTGTATAAAAAATAAATCAAAGCACTTTGTGTGTCCTATTCAATGAAATGTGCATAAAAGAAGGATCGCTGCCTAAATACATACATACATACATACATACATACATACATACATACATATATATATATATATATATATATGTGTGTGTGTGTGTGTG